GGAGAGAGGGTTTCTTGTCATGGAGTCTTTGCCCATCTTCTCTAGACAAAGAGGGAGCTATGAACTCCACGCTTGGGCTGAATTAGCTTTTGAACTTTTCCTGTGCTGTATGTCTTGAGACACTAAAGTTAAAGCGCATGTCACTAGGTGGCACTGGAACATCGCTCTGTGCCCAGTGCAGTCCTGAGCTCTTCCTCCCTGCTCCTAGAGCTGCCTGGATTTCTAAGTGTCAGGGAAATTGTTTTATTGGTGAAGGCCATAGTGTAATATATTCATCTCCATCTCTGGCAACCATTTAATGCCCTGGAACATGCCCTCGTACGGCTCTGGCCTGTTGACTCTGCTTATTTGGTGTAATAATTAGCAGAATTTCTCACTAACAGGGGTACTTACTAACACCTCACACTTTCCTCTGTGTTTTTGTACGTGATGGGTCTTGCATTCTATGAGAGAAGTTAAGCAGGTCAAAGCTTACGCCCTGTACAACACAGCTTGTTTTCTGCCCAATAGCTTTGAATAGATATATATTAACTTCTCTTTAATCCCTGTGGTATGTAATGCAAATGAATTGGAACCTTTTTCTAACAGGCTATTAAAAATTAGTAAACACAGGACAGCTTGTCAGCTTCCACAACAGTAGAATGAGCAGCTAGAAATTTCAGTGTACTGCCTTCTAAAGTGCACACTTGTTAAAGCTTGCTGTGTTGTCATGTCTAGTTTGGTATAGATGGCTCTACTTTGTCTTATAAGAACAATTTTCATATGCTAAAGGTGATCTTTCTGTTGTAAAGGTGTTCAAACTCTTATTCTGCCTATTAAGAGAAAGAGATAGAAATTCTGAGTTAAACATTTTTAATTTTTCTTGCACTTTCAGTAGCTGAAGATGAAAAAATCTGGAAAATTCTTTGATGCACTCAAAGGAAAGGTCCTCAGATAACTGCAGTGGTAGGAATCCCTGACATGAATTTCTTTCCAAAGGCAGTGCTAGGGCAGCTGCCAGAGTTAAGGGTTCCATAAATTGCTCTAGAAGCTAGTCCTTTTGAGATAAACTCTGATGTGAAAATTAATAAAATTTCTGTGTAATGAATGAATTCAAAATACAAATTTTCAAAGCATTTGTCATATGCAAGCTGAGCACTGTGTTGAGGCTGTCAAACCATTTCACCTAGTGTCTCACGCAGTTTCTAGACTGTATAAATTTGATAGTTTCTGTCTGAGACTGAAATCACAGCATGTGTGGTGTAAAATGTTTGTCACTATTTGCTGCTGCCTGAAATGTTTAAACGTAAAAATCTGCCTTCCGATATATTTTTGTATGCTACCTGGCTGGTTCTTTTTTCAGCAAGGCCTTTTGGATCCTCGTTACCACTGAAGCACTTGCATTTGTAGAAGGTAATACTGCATGTTAAGCCAGCAAATACGAACAGAGGTGGCGGTGGCAGCTTTCTCTTAATGTCACTTCCTTGCCCTTGGCCTCTCTTATTAATGCATCTGAGCTGCTGTCACTCAGCTGGCTTTAAAACAGACATGCAGGATGTCAAAAAGATGGCCTATTTTTTTGAGTGTCGGGTTAAGAGTATCCCTACCTATAAAACCGCTAATATCAAATTATAGAACAGTTGACTCAAGTCTGTGTAAGTGTTCTGGGGGGAAGTGAGATTAATTTATTCTCATTTTGGATGTATGGTCTTTAAAAAAGCCAATAGAGTTTAGAATATTATAGTGCCCAGGATCTTTTCACTTAAGCAGATACTCCGAGTGCCTTAAAGTCAAAATTTTACAGAACGGTCCTTCCATGTCAGGTTGTACCCCAATATTTGCATTTGTGATGGATCCTTGCCATCCATGTTCCTCTTATGCCAATTTACCTGAGGGTGGGCTTGCTATGCTGTCATGTATACAGTTATTTACTTAGAAATATATACTCACATGCATTTTAGTGCTTTTCTGTTTAGCAAGTTATTTCATGGATTCTATTTGCAAAGTATAGGCAGTGATAACAGTAGCACTGTTTAGCCTCTTAGGCCCGTAAGGAATATCAGTGTATGGGGAAAGGGAAAGAAAGTTTCCCTGAATGGATGGACACGGATGACTTAAGAAATAACTTTTCTGCATGGCCATTTTGCCTAGAGCTTTTGCTCTGTACAATTGCACCCTTGCATCATTGTAAGTGATGGGAAAAGTTGACAATATGCGAGCTTTGTTTGTATGCTGTTGAAGTAATGTTTTTCAGAAAACTGGAAATTAAGTATTAGCCTTTGCAAGAGCTAGGACTGTTTTAATTGTGACTACTATAACAGGATATTATTTGAAAAAGCTTAACAAACACTCTTAAGCATAGTTGACTTATGCTTGCACTGTCAAATGTGTTTGGTTTTGGCACAAAGCAAATGGTTTAATAGAGCTACTTTCATAGCTGATGAGTGCTCTGTTGCAGGTTACATCTTAGTGCACCCTGAGCTTATTCTTTAAGTTCTACTAAAATAGTGTAAGAATAAAATGTTAATACAGAAAAATTGAGGGATCCTTGTGTTAACTTTCATTTGTATTAACCTTATGATAATAGCGTAAGTGTTCCAAAGGCTATGAAATACAGACCCTGAAAGACCTTGGCTGAGTTTGGCTGTCATGATGTATTTATTTTAATATCAATATGTAGTATGTATACACACTAACTTGAGGACTTGCATGAACTTCTCAGTGTGTTTTATTGCCTCCAGTTCAGTTCATTAGGCTCCGTGTGCAGGAGGTCTTGGGGAGATGCGGAGAATTCATTGCAGTCAATGAATCAAGTCATTGTTTGGGCAAGGGTGAAGCGTATGCAGAAGCAGCTCCTTTCTCATGAGGGCACCAGTGTGTGTGCATTAATTGCGCACCTTATATAACTGTATTGAACATTGCAAATTGTGCTCTGTGCAATCTAATATACCTGCATAAATATCAATTTTTATATTAATTTTACCTAAATAAAATAATCTGCTTTATCTCCTTGAAAAGTGTTTTTAAGAAATGACCTAAGTGTGCTCCCATGTAGCTTCAAAAATAACATCTCATTGGCTGTGCTGTTTTGGAAGTGATGTTGACAATTTGTATGACACCAAACTTGTTGTAACCGGGATTGTAAATCAGTGATGGTTTCCTTTAAATTTTCTGGGGGAGAGGAAGGGGAATTGCACAAAGCTTTTGCTCAAAGGCTCCTCTAGTGTGAGAAATATTTAAAGGGAAATCTGTGACTATAAAAGAGAAGGCAGTTGTCCTTGAGAAAGGACACATCACAAAGGTGGAAGGGAAGAGGCGGCAGAGCTCTGCTGCTGCAGCTCAAGCCCGGGGGAGCTCATGTACCCCTGCCTTCTATGTGCTGCTCTCTGCTCTGCTTCTCTTAATTGTGACTTATACTCCCAAGAATCCCGAGCCCCTTCTTTTGAATACCTTGCCTCTGTATTTGGTGAAATATAACTAACACACTGTTCCTGGAATACATTTGCTTTTATCTTTAAGGCTTTCAACCCTCTTCCTGTCTTTACATTATGGAGTGAAAAATCCAGTTAAATAATCAAATATTCTGTCTCTGAAGGCTGTAACGGACTTCACGATTTGCAACATTTGTAAGTGCTACTGCTTTTATAGTGCTTATAGGGCTAATAAAATCTATGGAAAATAATTTAGTTCTATGAAAATATTGAGAGCTGACAATTTTGTAATGGCCTACAAAGATGTTCAAGTACTGTGTAGTAGGCATGACAGTTACAGTATGTGAAATTTAATGCTCGAGCTGCTTATTGATCTTCCTTGTAGCCAATGGCATGGGCACAAGCCTTTGCACTTAGCACCTGCTGTTCCTACATTAACACCATCTTTAGCCTTGTTATCGAGGGGACTTAGAAAACCACACTTGATACTCAACTTGGATATTTACGGGAATATCTGTTTTTTCTTGTTCTTGGTTTCCAAGTATCCATTTTAGTTTCTCTTTAGTTTTGATGGCTGTTTTTTTCTGGGTGATGTTTTAACACTTAGAATTTGTGTTATTACACATGAGATACTTCAGTCATTAGCTATCAAAAGACACACAGACAAAATTCCTGCAAGGCCTAATATATTCTGTAAATGATGAAAAATACAAGATAATTCATTGCATCTTTCATCCTAATGATGATTCTGGCAGCAATTTACTTAGATAAGATGATAAATCTGTAGAATCAGCTCTAGTATCCTCGATGGGAAGTATCTAAGTGGGCAAAGTTTCAAATTCAATCCTGGTTTTGGTCTTTTGGGTATGAAAGACACTAGGTAGGTTAATATGGCCGGATTTCCCAAAGGAATTTGACTGTTGCCTCTTCCTTTTGCCACTCTTCTTTCTCACACTGGTTGGCAAAGTGCGTCTCCGAGCAGAGCTGTCAATGTCGGAGCTGATTGCCTTCCCCCTAATGACTTGAAAGCATTTGTGTCTTCATGCCCCAAATCCAGATGTCTAGCTATTATGGTGCATACCCTCCTGCAAACCTCTGCTGCAGTTACTGCAGAAATTCAGTGCTTTAACACCTTTATTGTAGAAACCAAAGGCTGTGTCTTGTGAAGTAAAGGGCAAATACATTGAAAAACAAGCAGAACCCTCCCCTGGCACCCGCCAAAAAAAACCTGTGCTTGCTTCTGAATAGTTTCTCTGAAGAAATCACTTATTCTCAGCATCTTTATATATATATATATATATATTTTTTTTTCCACCTGAGAGATGTTGCCTGTGTTGGAAAGGGATATAAATGTTGTAGGAAGTAGTCAAAAGCCTCTCTTGTTTTTCCTATCCTGAAAAACTTACATAGTTGGCTCTGTAGTTAAGGATTTAATGAAATCGCTACTTATCTACAGAGCCTAGAAGCCTGTTGCAGTGCTGTGGCTGTGCATGTACATGCTTCTGCACATGTGCTCCATGTGTGCATGAAGACGAACTAAGGGTTTGGAGGTCCATTTGAACTGTGATCATAATTTTTCCTGTGTTTCAGTTTTTTTACGCCACACTAATATAGGAGATCCATTTTCCAATGGATACCTGCTGGAAGGTATGCAAAGGAGAGGGAAGGAGAAATAGACAGCAGCGGTGAGATGCTTGCAGGAGAAGTCTGGCCAAAAGTGACTGTGCTTGAATGATTTATCATTTCAAATTTCTCTTGCATTACTGCAAGTGTTAAAGCGTGTGTGACGGGTCCACAGTTAACTGGGTAAGAAAATTGGCAGTCCTCTTTCATTAACAGCCCCTGGCCAACAGGACAGTGTTCCTGTAGGTTAAAACAACAATTAAGGGGCTCTTAACGTATCAAGGCAGGTCTTGGAGAGGGAATACTGGTAGCAAAGACATTTTTCACACATTACTAAGCTGCTTCAATGCATAGATTAACTTAGTTCAGTTACATCAGTCAAGTATGTTGTGCATATGCATGACTGTTCTTTGTGTGTGCGTGTGTGTGGGAACCGGGATCTGGGCCTGTTGCTTTATGAGGAAGGGTAAGAGAGGTTGAAAGTGGTAAGCAAAGCCAAAGAGCACCTTAGCAGGGAGGAATATCGAGCAGTCTTTAGACAGCTGCTCAGTTACAGGACTGCTCTTAGTCCTAAAATCTGTATGCGTTACAAGAGGTTGTTTTTCATAAATGTTTGTTGTGACCAAATCAGTTAAACAGCATCGTAATGCTCTGAATTGGATGGGTTTCTTCAGCGGGACAGTGAGGTGTGCAGGGATTACGTTAAATAATTAGCATTCTGAAATGTAACATTGGGTGCCTGTTTGGAAACAGGTATGGGTTCAGTCTTCTTATAGTAGGACAAGTACAGAACAGAATGGTCGTGTGTCTGCCACTATTTTTGACAGACTGGATCATAGCTAGTGTAGCACAGACGAGGCTGTTAAGTTCTCTGGAAATGTAATCCTTCTGTCTGAATAAGGGACACTATAAAATTGGCCAGATGTTTTAATGAGTGGAGTTTATAGAGGTAATCTGAAGAGAGATTTTTCTGCAATTTAATGTATGTGTTAATTGAAAAATAAGAAGTGCAACAGTACATTTAGTGTGTGTGTGGCTACTCTGCCTTAATTTCTGACATAGCTGGATGTAGGGAGTCATGGCAATGGTCTTGCTTCTTAGTTGTTGCAAAGTTTTAATAGCTAGCACTTGAAAAAATATAGATTAATAAAATGTTGACTTGAAAATTTGTAACTATTGAATATCCTTGCTGTGAGTATTTGCAACTGCATTTGTATTGCTTTTTGTTTGTTTTAGTTTTTTTTCAATTTCTTTCTTATGTGGATTTCAATTTTGAGTCCTTCAGAGCACCTGAGGTGGTTATATAACTTGCTTTCTTCATGCGTGACCTGAAAGAAAAATGTTTTGTTACTGTTTGGCTTTTGTAACAGAGAGTGAAAAAGAGAGGCGTGCCCTTGTGTGTGTGCAATCCTCGCATGAGGAGGAAGCCAGGAGGAAAGAGGGATTTGTAGAACCCAAAGGCTTGTTTCTGAGCTTTTTTGTCTTGCCTGAGAGTGAGGCCTGACTGGGTAACCACAATACCCTTTGGGAGAAGAATAGTGGGTAAAAACATAAAGATATTAGCCCTTTAAGATAACCTTGAACTTTTGCAGGCTCTTTGGATGATGTGGCAGGTGACAAGACTGAAGTGTGCATGCTTTGCTAAGTTTAATCCTTAGTCTATATTCTTAAGTGTAAAAGCTGTAGCTGGAAGTTAACAGAACTTTCTGGCTCCAGAAAATTGGCCAGTTGCATTGGTTTAAGTCTGCTCAAGTGGGCAAATGTAACTTTTCTTTGCATTTTGTACTCAGTATTGCAAAAATAAACTTTTTGTTTCTTAATGTTTAGTTTTTTTCTGCTTTAAAAATCATTGCAACATTCTAGCCTTAAATCTGTCAGTGCAGCTTCCAGTCAATGGTCTGCAAACTGTAAGAACGCTGTTGTCTGCTGACTTGTTTGATAGTGAAACTAGGTGGAGTTCTGCCTTTGAAACTGTAAGACTTTCACTAACCTTTATAGTTTATGTATTGAATTTTGTCTTACCATTAAGAGAAAAATGAAATCTATTGAGGATGGTATTGACATCCTGTAGGGAAACATGTGAACTGTAGAAATTCTTATGCTGTTGTGTTCCTTGGCCAGAAAATGTCTTTAAGCCCCATCTTTCTCCTTAGACCACTTAATCTGGAAAAAACAAGCTAATGTGTTTGTAAAACAACTTATTTTGCCTTATGAATTTATATGTGCATTCACTGTGTTGCTGTTATTTCTCCTGCTTTGTAACTTTTAGGGCCTTACTTCTGTGGGTTACTTCATGGCCAAAAAGTACATACGGTGGCTGAGAAGTTCTGCCTAATATTATACAACCAACCACTGCATTCATTAGTACATTCATTTATTACTAATAAGTGGGTAGAGATTGATAATGTCTGCAAGCTAGTTCATGGTACATCCTAAATTTGGGTGTTAATGCTTCTGGCATTCATTATCAAGTCCAAATATAACAGTGCTGTTCATAGCAGCTATAAAATAAGCTATTCACAGAAATTATGAAATAAGATATTCACGGATATTTTCTTCTCTCTGGCAGCAGCACATAGGAGACTGCCTGAGCAGCATCATCGTTGTAGATGATGATATTGAAGTGATGGGGCATGTAAAAAGAGTTTTCACCTATTGGCATTGCTAGTGTATGTATGAAAATTTCATTGCCTTTCAAAGCATAAGTGTAATACTGATATCTAAATGAACTGTCATCCTGCTAATAAAGGCATGATGTGAGGCTCTGATTTAGAGAAATGTGCTCTAAGATACCCAATACCTTCAAATAAGGACACCTTTTTTTGAGCTGTAAAAAAGATTTACCTATTGAAGTGCCTATAGACAGTGCTTACTTAGCAGTCCCGAGACTTGGCCTGCAGGCAGCAGTTATAGCTAGAACTTGGACTTTTCCTTTTCAGACTTTTTGGAAGTATTTGCGAGTAGCTTGATGTTTTTGGCATCTGTGTGACAGCCTCTTGCATAAGAGATGAGCAGTGTGTTGAACCACCCAGCTGTGTGTATTAGTCTGTACATCAAGCTGAGGAGCAGCACTTAGCCAGAGCTGACAATCAAATGGGAGCTGGTAGTACCTATACACAAGAGGGTGTTTTAATGCTGGGTGCTTTTGCCTGAGAGGCTGGATTTTGACAAAGAAATTGTCAGAATCGCTCTTCTTTCTGCCTTTTTCTCCCTCAGCTGTGCGTATATTGAAATACAGATTTTTTTTTTCTGTAGTTTTATTTTACAGATAACAAAGGCAGACTAATATTTTCTGTGATTATATGTAATAAAATTGTAGCCTCTCCTTATAGAGGAGTTACTCTTTTGGAATATGAGGTATACTAGCCAATAATTTTCTGCCAACTTAATCTGATGTTAGATGATTCTTGGTTTTGCCACTGAGTTCATGTCAAATATGTACTGTGTCCCCAAAGGGAACTGGAGACCTGGTGAGATAACATTTCTAGTTTGTAAATCTCAGTGATGTTCTTGTCAGGCTGGTTAGAATCAGTGAAAGCCGATTGCGAGTGTGGGGATGAGTTAGTGAGAGCTGCGTGCTCTTGTTTTAGTTTGACTGGTCTGGCATCTATAACCCTTAACAGCTTCTAGTCGTCTTTCTAAACTGTCAGAGAATCAGGTAGGTGTTAATACTTGTTCAGCTTTCCCTGTTCGTGCATTTGCTATAAGCAAGAAGTTGGTACATGGAATATTCCCCCCTGTCTCCCTCTGGCTCCAGTCTTATTTGTACAACAGGATAATTGCCAGAATTGGCAAGATCTGTTTTGACCTTTATATGGGAATTCTCAACCAAGCGCAATGCAAAAAGATTGCAAAAAGTTGTTCTTTCAGAAGAACTTAGAACATGTTGTTTTTTGTAATGAATTCTCATGTCTATAGAAGTGTCAAAGGGATTAGATGTCGATTAAACCCTTATTAACTACTGTTTTAATGAAGCTTCACTATCAAAGACATATATAGGGAATAAATTTGTGGCGACATCTATGTAACAAAATATGAAGTTACTCCTGATAATATTACTGATATCCTTCTTAAACTTAATTATACATATTTGCATCAAAGCTCTAACACTGTCACATAAACTATATCCTGTTTCCTGCTAGTGCCCTTATTGCAGATGTTTTAAGGGTATTGAAACTACAATTATTTCTTGTAATAGTTTCTATACAGTAGAAAATACTGTAATAAGCTTGAGAATTCAATCCCTTAATTATTTAAAATACTCAAGCATTTAAAGTAGAAGATAAAATTAGTAAGAAATAAGAAATGAGCTTCAAAGGCTAAAGCAGACACTGGCCATTATACAATATGAACACCTGTACATAATGGATTTTCCTCAGTTTAATAAGGATTAATTTAGGAAGAAAATCTACATGCTCTGAAACCACCTAACCAGAATTACTGCTTTATTAGTAGAAAAGCTCTTTAAATTACTTAATTTGTTTCCTTACTTAAGATACATCAACTCACAGGCTTGTGTTTTTCTAATGCAACAACTGGCTTTATTTAACCGGTTTTATTTAACTTGCATAATTTACCTTGTTTTAACATGTCTTTGGACTAATTCTGTGTTTCAATTTTATTCCCTAAACAGAAAAAGAAGCTTCTTGAAGAGCTTGGAGAGAGTAGACTTCCATATATGACACCAGCAGATGCTGGTTTCCATCAGTTGGTAATGTATTTTTCTTTTAACAAGGTATCCAGAGTGAAGCCCATGTTCACCTTGTATGCTTATCCATTAATTGCTTTTCTTATTGCACAATGATTGGTGATTTAAAGAACAACAAGCTTTTTTGTGTAATGAATCTGAAATGTATTTCCACTTACTGATTCCCTATGCAGTACAGTCTTTTAAGCTAGAATCTTAAGCACAATATATAAAATACAGTACTTGAATTATTTAAATTTGTTTAATTAGAATGTTATCTTAAATTTGCCATAATAGAGTATATAATGTGGTAATTGGTTAATCTGACATGAATATTTCCTATATACATAATTGTTTAAAGAACTGCTGAGATACTGCTATAGAAATGTTTTCATTTTTTTCTCATTACCTGTACACCCTGTTTGCAAAATGATACATACCATACAGTCATAAACTTTATATACTGCACCAGGTAATGCTCTGTCATTACTATCCTATGATTGTGAAATTACAGTAGTCTCATCTACGCATCTGGAGACAATACTTAAAATTGCAATTACAAATTTCTGTGATAATACTTTTTTTTTGTGTACTGTCCAAAGGCTAGAGCTACAATGCATGGACTGAGACAAATGAGACTGTTCATGATCCCTAAATGAGTTGTTTCAGGCTTTTGGCAAACATCATAGCAATGCACCTGTCAAAAGCATCTTTTTGCAGCTTATTTCCTGGGTAAGGTTTAGGAGATTTAGAAAATGCCAGCATTAAAAAGGTTATGGAAGCATACTGAAATTAACAGTAGCATAAGCCAACTTAGTAAGATTCAGAGACTATTTAACATTGTAATAATTTACTGACATATTGACAATATTGTTGTCTAGCAAGGGGCTATTCAAGTGTTTGAGAGAAAGAGATCATAATTTTTGTATTAATTTACATTGATTTTTATATGCGCGTTTCCCATGTTTTTATCAAAGATGAACTATCAGAAATTTATGGTTCTTGAAAAATGCATTTAGACTTTCTGCGGAGCCTGAGCCCTGGCCCTGCATGGTGAAAGTCCCGCGGCAGAGCCGGGGTTTCAGCGCTGTGCTCAGGCACTGGCTTAGCAGGAAGCTAAGGAGCTCAGCAGCTTTCCGAAGCTCTGATATCCTTTCAAAAGAATGCTTTGCAAGAAAGATGATGCAAGTGTCATATCACTATGAGCGTTTCAAGGCTTTGTCTGTACTGCTTTTTAAAGATGATTTTATCTTTTTAAAGATTATTACAAATTTGTACATGTGCTTTCAGTTGATTGTCTTTGCAGAGACGAAGTGCATCTCTGTGCCCTCCAGAACTTGGCCCTGGAACACAGGCTGGGGTGGAGCTCATGGATTGGCTAGGATTTTGCGATAAGCCTAATGGACGAGATGATGGGTAGTTAAACAGGATCCTCTATTAAGGCAAACTGTGATATATACATATAGGAACTTACATTAATAGGTATTGCTCACCCTTCACCTTTGAGACTCACTGATGCCTTCTGCGAAGTTTTGAAGTGGCATGGTTGTTTTTGGAGGGTGCTTTCAGTTCTTAGTTTTGTGATACTTAGAAATAAATGTTTACCTTGGTGATACTGTCTGGTTACATGCCACTGGTAAATACCCACAGTTTGTGTGATAAATAGGAATATGAAATTAAAAACACTGGTATCCATGTCTGTCATGTTCTAGACTCAAGCTTAATAACTTACCAGCTGAGCCTTACTTGTTCATGAATGTATGAAATACTTCATGTAAAAAGAGTAATCTTTTTGTTGTCATTTTTGTTTTTTTTTTCTCCTTTAGTGGAAGACCAAATATTCCAAACTAATTTTCAGGGCATCTGATACAGTACCCAAGGAGCTCCATCAAGTGGTACAAGAAGCCTTTTTGACCTTGCGAAAACATGACTGTTTCTTTCAAGATCTTGTAAGGATTAAAGGAAAAGATTTTGTCACCCCAGTGTCTCGTATATTAATTGGAAACCCGGGATGCACTTACAAGTACTTGAACACAAGATTATTTACAGTTCCTTGGCCTACTGAGGGTTGTGAAATAAAATATTGCAGTCCTCAAATACATGATGCCTGTAAAGCATTAATGCAACTTAATGACTATTTGCATACTGAAGCAGTCCAGGCCTTACAAGGACAAAATTCATCTGGGACTAAAGAAACCAAAGATACTGTTGTAATAGATAGGGAGCAGAGTTTTGATACTTCTATTAAGGAGAAAGACTCTGTTTTAAAAGATCAAAGCAGTAGTTACGTTTCAGAGGATGACTACACAAGGCTAAAGAACAGAACATCTTTTAACTTGACTTTATTAAATTATATGGATCCTCTGCAAATGCTGTACTTGAAACAAGAGCCTTATTTTGGAATGGGGGATATGGCTGTGAGCTGGCACCATGACGAGAATCTGGTTGCAAGGTCAACAGTTGCTGTGTACAGCTACAGCTGTGAAGGTGAGTGATGGGGAGGTAGCACGGGAGAGCTGCACTTTGGATAAATATTTTAAATCCCTGGAGTTGTCCTGTGTTTTCCTCATGTGTACATACGTAAGCTCACTTGCATGCTAGCTTGGATTCCTCACTTGCTTCTGAATCCACTGTCCTACTGAACATCATGTCTTTCACTTCACTCCGTTCATGTCTGCTAACACCCGTACATACCTACACTGACTGCAGCTGGCCTTATTGCTTGTTTTCAAAGTACATTTAAAAAATTGTTCTAATTAACTTCCCGAAGAAGAGCCAAGAAATCAAAATCTGTCAAATGTCTACTTCAGGTTAACACAGGTGCTGATTTTCTATCTTAAAATATTTTACTGTAGTTGAGATCATGGTATTTATTGGGTGATTGATCAGATATAGACTTGCCTCCTGCTTTATGATGAGTTTACTATTCTGCTTTCTTTGGAAAGAATGTTTTGGTTTGCTTTTGTGTAAAAGTATTGCTTTATTCCCTTTTTCCTTATACTTTTTGTGTTCAAGTGTGCTATAGTGCTAATGTACGTTTTACAGGGGCCCTGGCAGCACTTCTGTAATTGGGAAGGTGGAAGTTTTCCAGTTTAAAAAAAAAAAAAAATCTATCTCAGTTTTTGCAGGCCTTAGTTATTTTTAAAATGTTAAATAGTTTAAGTGGTGGAAAAAAAGTATAGCTGGAGAGTCAATAAATAATTTCTCTTTTAGTTTATTTAGAAATTACTTTTTTTCTTACCATTCTCAGCAGAACTTTTTTTTCAGGACTTCCAGTTTTCAAAGCAGAAGATGAGAATTTAGACAATTACCTGGTTGAGATGAATTTGGAAGTGATCCCTTATGTTTCATAATTCACGTTTTTTTTTTCTTAAATCCTTCCAAAAATCCTTTGATGTTTGCCTCAGAATATGGGAAAAATTCACACTGACTCTTGCAGATTTTGGCTCAAGACCATGATATAGAAATAACAGCTGATAGTTTTGTACTCGGCTCTTTCTGTTAATAGTTTTGAAACTATAGGTCACTTTGTTACATAGCATTTGGCTGAAATCACCATGTTTAGAAATTATGTCTTCCTGAACAGAAAATATCAGCTATCAGAGCGAACAGGATAGAAATGGTTCCCTTGACCGGTACCATTGTCACTTTTTTCATAACTACTATTCTGTCTTTTTTTTGCCAAAACTCTTGTCCTGTAAGTATAACTTGTCAGAGATGTTTTTCAGTAATATTTTAGGCAAGTGATCTTAAGTTAATACTGGGGTGGTAGAATGTCTTGCCATATGCTTAAAATCTTTTTATTTTAATACACATCTTCCATGTGCAAAGAATGGAAAAATTAGTCCATAAGTAGAAATTAACAAAAATGGTATATTAGCTTGTTACTTGATTTTTTTTTTCCTTCTTACTCAAGAGCTCATTATGTTAGATAAGTAAAAATTATGCCCTGAGTAAAAATTTGTTTGACAAAGGTAAAAAGAAAGATTTTAGATTTATATGTACCTAGTATTTTTTTCCAAAATTAGGTGATTTTTGTTTTAAAACAGTGTTTTTCAGTGACTAACTTGATGACTGTGACTTTATATTATGCCTAATTTGACATTTGTGATTATTATGCAATGATTCAAAAAGTTTGGAATTGATGTGTATTGTAGAAAATCTCTTGGCAAGAGCTGACAGTCTTAAGAAGCCCAAGCTGGAGACAATATGAAAGAGAAAAGCTTTATTTACAGTTTTAGAAGAAAATGATTTACCGAGTCAGCTAATTCTACAAGAAGTTTAATGCCCCTTGACCCTACTCGAGGCGGTTCTGGGAACTTTAAAGGGAGCTCAAGGCCCTTGGAAGGGTCCTGGACCCGTGGCACATGTGGTTGCCCACCTGCAGGTATGTGCACCAAGAACTGCATGTGCAGGCACGTATGGATTTTCCAGTTTGCTGAGTGACCCAAGACACTGGATTTTAGAGGATTACGTGCATTGTCATTTTGCTCTCATTTGGCTGTTCCAGACAGCAGAATGGAGGTGTTCAATCTCATCAGTGCTTATAATATTCTTTCCAGTTGCAGTCACTTATTTATTGTGTCTCTTACCAAGCTCTTCCTAACTCTAAGATAGTTACTAAACCTTTGGAGAAGCTTAATGTGACTCCTGTTCACATTTTCCATAAATAGCTTTGCTTCTTCTATCAATATTTTTCATTAGTACTTAAGCCATTAATCCATTTAGTTAGTATTATGTCTGAATTCTGTATTATATAAAGACTGCTACAGAGTCATTATAGAATACATAGTAAAAAGAGTAGGAGAGGTCAGAAATTTTTAATGAAACAGTTTTTCATGAGGAAATGTTGAATAAATGGGTTCAAAATGTTCCGTTAGTGCCATTCAGCCCTATTCATTAGGGTGTCACTGGTCTCTGCAGTGCTCCAGACCCCAAGGACTTGGAATGGGCAAACAAGTGCTTCCCAAAAGCTTCCCAGCTATGTGTATATATGTGTGTGTGTATTTATTATACAGTTCCATGAAGGCAGAGTCCCAATCAGGCTTTGACTAGCAGGAGCCCCAGAAGTTGAACAGCCTGGTGGCCATAGGGCAGCTGTTTGTTTGCCTGGCTTGAGAGGGGCACAGCTCTGAGGAGATGGCTTTCTTTTTACTTTAACTGGTATTTTTACATCTGTTCTGATATGCCTTTATTTGATTAAATGTTATTAAAGCAGTTATGTAATTGAAACACTTTGATTTTCTTGTTCATTGTTTGATGCCATCATGAAAGTTTCATATTTGATGCTTTGATCAGTATGAATTGCAGTAGGAGCTGGTTTTAGCATGCCAAAGTCATTTGAGAGCCAACATAAAGATATTAGAACACTGTTGTTCTGATTAGTATTAATGTTTCTTGTTTCAAGTGTCAGACTATTTCATAGCAACCTCAAATGAGACACTTCTTGAACCACAAAATAAGGCAGGCTTAAAGTTCATCTTAAAATATGAAATAAAAGAATAAAATAAATCTCACTAACATATTTTAAGCCAAAATAAGACAGTAAAATGTAGTCTATTATTAAGATTCATTTTTTCTGAATTTTAGTGTTTGTATTGCTTGAAAGTGGTTGCTACAGGTTCCTATGCATAATTAAATGCATTTAAAAATGTGTGTTCAATTATATTGTTATTAACATAGTTCTAAATTAATTGATTTATACTTTCAGAATTTGCCAGGAAATAGGGATTCCAAATTTTGACTAGTTTAAGATTTTTAACAAAAAAGCATACAGAGCTCTACCATGGCATGGGAGCATTTAATGTAACAACATGTTCAGGATTTTAATACAGTGAATTAATAATCCATCCTTATTTTCTGTGCACTTCAGAAAAGCAATTGTTATCCACATATTGTTAGAATAAGAGCATTTTGAAAAATTGGATTTCTTCCGAGGGCATTTCTACGTGAATGATTTTCCCTCAAGTTCTCATAAGGTCTGTAGAAAGTTTCATTGTTCATAAAAGCGTTAATTCAGTGATTAGGACATTCTGTGAAGTAAAAATACCAGCTTAAAGGAGATGGAAAGTCATGTAGTAACCAGAAGTGCTCATCTTTCTCTTTTCTGGATTTTCCACCAACAAAGTTTTAGATGGAGAAGTAGTTTCCACTAGCTACTTTCCTATATTTTCTTTGGCTTGTTGCCTGTAAGGCCTGCTTGCTGTAAACCTCTTGGAGTAATAAATGACTGGATCTGTTAGCAGACAAGGTAATGTTTAAAGATTTAACCAACTTGTGATTAATTGCAGTAATGCTTGTTTTTCACATTAATTTCTCTTGTAAAATGGTAGCTGTTTTTTCAGTTATGTTAGATGTAACATCACATTATAAAGCAGCTTCATTTCTACAATAATTGGGAATTAATGAATTTTGACCAAGTTAAATCCCTGAAACTGCAGAAGTTGTTAAGAATTGGAATCACTCTAAACCTGTGGCTAACCAGTAATCTCTTCATGTCTTGTCTCATGGGTGAACGTTACTGTCCACCTCTACCTAGGTTTATAGGTATACCCTCCTATAAACAATCATTACGTGGTTTCTAATGTCAGTAATGTATTAAACAATGTTGCTTGTAGAAAGAGTAAAAATGTTTCGTGGAAAAATACTCTTTCTTTACAGTGAATAGGTGGTTGAAATGGTAAATTCTGTAACTTGTAGATGTTGGGTAGCTAGAGTTATTTTCTGAGATGAACAGTTTTAATGAGCCAATTATGCATTAAAACCATAGATTTGAAGCTCCTTTCTTTAAAACAAAGTCATCATTTGAATGAAAATTGTTTAGTTTTTCTTTCTTTTTTTCTGACCACACTGTCAACTACTCTATGAAATACTCTCCCTTAGCCCTGTAGGGATACTCCATATCCCAGGCATGAATTGTTATGAACAATGTTGGCAGTTCCTTTAATCCTGTGTTTGTGAATTTTGGTGGCAAGCAAAAGTTAAAATGTTAGTGCAGTTTAAATAACCTGTTGCACACTGGCTTTTCAGTAATAAGGGAGAAGGAATAACTGGGTAGGTCCTTGTAGTTCCACAGCTGCTCGCAGTGAACAGTGTGCTCTGCTGTTTTCCCTTGCCTTGCATGCAGCACATGTGAGGCACTGTGGACGTGGACAAGTAATATGGGCCGCAGTTTTTCTGGTGCTGGGACTGTGCCTCGCTGGGTATTGGCTTTTTGAAGCCATGTGGTTCACTTACTAGTTTGCCTGCTGTTTAGAAATGTTCTGCTCATTTTAGGTGCTTTGCAAAATCTATTTGATGCAAAAAGACGGAAATCTTGTTTATAATTTAGAGGAAACAAATTATTGAAGTAGCATTGGTTTTGTTGATCGAGGGTTTGTGGTGGTGTTTATGTTGCAGTTTCATAGTCTTCAGTAGCCATCTGGCTACGAGAATATCACGCTACAGGAATGGTTGACAGCATGTTTTTGATTTTTATGGTGTTCTCAGAATGCAGCCTATTCTGTAAGGTAGAGTCGATCAGTTCTACAGTGCTTTACTTGAACATGCTCTGGTCTTAGAGCTCTTTAATCGTGGAATTTAATTTTTGTTTTTGTCCAAGAGGAGCTAATTTGTTGTCCTTCAGTTTTCGTAATGTATCTGTTCTGGGGTTTTTTAGCTTAATGGGTAATATTGGAGCACAGCAGAGCCAAATTAGATCAAAGGGAGGAGGAAGAGGTTTTTTTTAGCTATTATATTATGAAAATAATTTAAATATCTATTTCATTAAATTATATGTTTGTTGCCCAAATTATTTTAATATCTGCGATAGTCAAACTGCATAGGGTAACTCTTTGTTCTATACTCATGTAAATGGTTAGTTGGAGTCCATGTTAAGTAGATGTTTATAGTTCTTCTTTTTTTTCTTAACAGTGTATTGTCACATAGATCTTTTTTCTAAGAAATCATGTTAGATTAGATTTAAGATATGGTTTGGCATTAAAATTGAACTTAAGCGGGGAACATTTCAGTTTCAGAGTGCCAAAAAAACTCTCAAATGGTTCTTGGAGTTTTTGATGCCAAATAGTAAATAAACCTTTCAAGTTTACTTTACTTTCTTCACTAACCTAGATCATGGGAAACAATTTGTGTGTTGTTCTGGACCTAACTGTGATCCAAAGCCAAAAAGGTGGAACAAGAGAGCTGGGACATCTTTGCAATTTGACAATGTTTGCAATTTGAATAGAAGCACAGTGTTTTGGCCCAATTTCAGCAGTTAGTTCTCCTTCCACAGTTCAATCCTTAATTATAGTTTTGATGAGTCATTAGTGCTGTGTTATGATAAGCTTGTTACCTAGTTGGATCTTTACATTTGACATGCAATTGTAAAGATTTCTACCAGCCAGATTCTGTAACTCTTAACTGAGTAAAATTCAAAATTGCAGATACTTAAATTGTGTTTCCATTTAATGCTGCAGCATTTGACAATTTCAGTATAATCTACTCCAAAATAAATATGTGCTCTTATGGTCCATTTGTATGGAAGGTGCTGTGTATGTGTAAGAACCACATGATTTATGCTGAATTACCTGCAGTTTAGACATATCCAGATGTTTTCACTTAAATGGGAACCATAATTATCTAATGTACAGTGTTCAGTCATGCTTGAGGTGTCACATAGAGAATTTTATAATGACTTCTTGTTATGTATATATGTTTGTCTGTGCTCCCCAAACATACACCACAAATTTTGAGGAGTTTTTTTTCCCCTCTCACTTAGGAATAGCTTGCATTTAAAAGCTAGTAGCAGCTTGCTTCCATTTGTTTCCAAAATAACATGGCAGGAGCAATCAGTTTCAATTGCTGCTGATAATTATAAGGTGCAATCATGGAGAATATAGAGAAAAGGAGTCTGTGAGCTACATTTGAACTCTGTACTTAAGCAATAAAAAATTTATCAAACTGCAAAAAATAAGTCATTTTAACGAGCACATTCCAAAGGTGCTGGATTTATGAGGAGACCCCAGGATACTTTGATTGAAATTGCTGTCTCTGATTGTAGTTCTATATTTTATTGGTGCCATATTGTGAGCAGTGCTGCTGCCAAAGTGAATGGGAAAGCAGCATAACAGACAGAGTTAACCCACAAAGGTTACCTCTTTTTATAATATCCATGATGTATTGCATTAAAAATGCCTTGAAAGCCATCCTATTTGCAGTTTTCAGAAAGCATTTTTTCTTAAATTAAGTTACGATTTATCTGAACAGGGCAGAAAATATGAAAGCCCCTGGAAGACTTTAGTATTGATTTTTCTGAGTATTTGTTAGCTCTTGTTTTCTCATTTGTGTGCTCCTTGATGGAAAGGCCTAGAGCTGATCCTGAGCCAACGCTTCAGTTGGATGAGAGCAGCAACCGCAGAGGGACGGGAATATGGGGACTGAATTTACAGTAGGGGTTTCAGTTAACTAGGGACTTCAGATTGGTTTTGAGAGGCTTTTGGCTCTCTGATTCCTGAATTAGGCCAATCTTAATCGACATGTAACATTATAAGAATTTATTAAAAGCTTCTCCTAGCTAAACATGTTGAAGAGTCCACACGAGAAGGACGACCTGAATGTTTTGAAAGCCAAATTCAAGGCTATGTTTTATTTATGTGTGGAATAATAAATGCTATAAATCTTTATTTTAGTTTGTTTTAGAAGTAATTGAATAATAAAATTTTAAAAAATATTATACAAAAGCACATTTGCAGTGGACAGTGAAATGGGCACACTCAACTCTTAACTTATAAGCAGTAATTAGGCAGGCTATATATAGTCGACTATTTCTAACCATTGACTGCAGTTTGGTGCCAAGTACATATTAAAACTTCAACCTCCTCTATCAAAATGCTCTGTTACATTAGTCACAAAACTGTTATGCCGTAGCTCCCAAATACCTTTCTATAAATGCTGACTCTCACGCAATTTATAGTGCAGTGAAGTGAGCCCTCAAAAGAGTTCTGAGGGATTAAGCTCTAAATATTATTTCAGTGGAGTGGATTACTTTTTCCCCCCAGCTCAACATATTCATGTTGCTTAATGATAAGAGCAGCATTGTGACAAATGTATTGAAGCTTTGTTGACTGTGGCCCATGGTGTCTATCGGGTTTGGCTGGTCTAAGAGTTTGGAGGGAGGAATCACACAGGATCTCCACCAGGATCCTTCCATCCACTTCAGTGATCTGGGTGGTGTCTTTGTGCAAATTACCCAGTTTGCTTTCATTTGGCGACTGGTGAAATTATGAGTATGTAAACCAATGAATTTGTGCATAAAATGCTTTTTAGTTGATTACTTAAAATTCTTTCAGAAGTTATCTATTTTACACTGGCCTTTTTTTTTTTCCTGGTTACTAGTGGTTACTATAGTTTTAATAATGTATAAAAACAATGTAAAAGTAACCATAAATCTCCCATTATGTGTACCTGAGAACTTCCAAGGAACTTGAGCTCATTGTAGACTGATTTGCCTTTGCTTTGTAGTTCATATGATTGTTTTTATCTTTATGCATTTGGTTACAAAAAATTGCTGGTCTCATGGCGTTTTTATATCTGTTATGTACTTTTGAACTTGGAGAGGGTGATTGTACCAGATGGAGATTACAGAAACTTTAAGCCTATTAACATTGTATCAATCTGTGATTTCATTAAGTCTGTGTTGTTAAACCAGATTTTGTATCTTATGGTTCTAATCTTGTCTGATTTTTCTGTGGTGTTTTCTGCCCCCTCTCTCTTTAAAGGTTCTGCAATTGAAGAAAGTAATGAACAGAACCTGAAGGGAAGAGACCCAGCTGTTTGGCATGTAGGCTTGAAGGTAGCATGGGACATAGAGACGCCTGGATTAGCAATGCCCCTTCACCAAGGAGACTGCTACTTCATGCTGGGTAATTTTCACAGCCTGGGAAGGGGAACTTTGGGTTGAAAACAAGAAAACTGGCAATTACTTAAATTAACATACATTTGCTTCAGTTAGGGCTCTTGTCATTTGCAAAGGCAGAAGACCTGGCTAGAATCTGTAGTCAATTATGCCTATGCTTCCCCCATCTGTAGTGTGTTTTAGAGAACCATTTTCTTCCAATGTTTCTTTCACTGCGGAGCTGAAAAATGAAAATATTCTTTCTGAGCCTTTTTTCTGTTGTTATGCAATCCAAACTCCTAGTTCAACTCAACCTTTAGATCATAGGCAGGATATCCCTAGCTGCTGTAATTGAGTTGTCTCAGTTCCATCCTTGTATTTGTAGATGTTAATTCTTTTCTCTGTTTTCAGTGCAGTTTCACAGAATAGCGAGCACTAAAAAAATGCTGGCACCTCTGCTGGATGTTTTTTTTGTTTGTTTGTCGTCTTTGTTTTGTTTATATCCCAGTTCTTTAGTTTGGGTTATAGATTGACTATTCATCCTGTAAACTGTGACAGTGGCAATCTTAGTTTTCTGGTTCTGTGATTCTTGATGTTGATCTGTGGGTGTTTTATTGGTCACCAATTTTAGATATGGCACCTTTTCTCAATCTAACACTTTCCTAAGTGTATATTCAAACATACCATTTTCCAATATTGTAATTTTGCTCAATCATAATAAACTGATCTGTCATAGTCCAATGGGCATGTATATTCTTTCTGTGCCTCATATATAGAGGGTCAAAAAGAAAAGGAATTGAATTCATTGGTCTGAGCAACTGGGCTGAAGCAGTGAAGTGCCATTAAAAGAATCAAGATTGTTGACATAAGAGCTATTCAATTTCTTTTGTTGTGTGTTTTTTCTTATAGTTTTTGCTTAAGGATTTTAAGTCGCACAACCTAGAACACGAACAATGCTTTTGTTTGTACATTCAGTGATTTGACTTCAGGAGAGAGGGTGTTTGCTATTGCCCATTTGTGTAGGTGGATTTACCTAGAGTGATCTATCCCCCTTGCCAGTTAGTTGGGTTGGAATGTTTCCATTTTTACCTTCTGGCCTCCTCATGAGTATGAACATGGCTTGCTTAGAATTTTTAAGGCCGCTTACAAATATGTACTCCGTTTTTTGTTAGCTCATCAAATCCTGAACTGAGACTGAGATGCTTCTTAAAGTGAAGTTTAGATGATGGTTAAGTATTCCTAGAAAGATAATTATTGGTCTGTTTTTGTGTTTTAACATATGTCTGTCTTGAACCATCTTGTTCAGTAATCCTTACTGACTGGAAAATTTGTGCCTAATCAACCTTGCTGGCCAAATAGATTCAGAAGGCAAGTAGTGAAACAAAGTTCTTAACTTCAGTATTTTTACTGCAAAATTCTATAAATTATAGTTGACTTGAGTTAACAAAGCCTAAGTATTTTTCTTATTCCCCCAAAGGAATTTATATTCTGTTGCTAAAGTATTTTGGGGAATATGAAGGTTGGGTCAGAAAGCTGCTTTATTAAACACTGACATCCTGGTCATGTTTAGATGGGAACGAAGGATATATTAAACATTATTTGGAAGATGATGTATTCATCACTCATTCTTATTAATACTTCATGGAGAGCTACAGTTTTGAGCTCTGTTGACCAGATGTTTGATAGTCTCTTCTGCGTTTTTATAGCCTTTGTAATTATTTTTCCCCACTTTACCTAAGATATTTAAGTGGCTACTGTCTGATTGAATATTCCCAAAATAGCAGTATGATTTTTTGGACCTGAGGTGGTTTTAGGATCTTTGTCCTCAGATGTCAGTGTGTATCAGAACTGCTTTTAGGTCAATTGGTTACTTGAAGTAAGAGATGTAACATAGGTGGATCTATGCATTTTTGTAGTGTGTTTTATACTATTCATTTTTTGTCAACTACTGTAAGAGATCTCTTGAGTATGCTAAGAGGTGAAACATGAAAACTTTGAATAAAAGATAATTTGACTGTAAAGAAAGTAATTTTAGATTCATTTATCTTGTGTTTCTACACATTGTACTTGCTAGAAAGTCATCAGGAGCTGAGTCCTCTCTTGCAAGTGAAGCACTATGATAGCAGCAGTGGAAGCAGCATGCAGGGCTGCGTAGTGCTAAGACGACAGTTCTGCGACTCTGGACATTAGGTGGTAGCTGCTCTTCAAGTAGAAAGGATGGGCTGGCAGTAACGTGTCCTGTTCTCACTACCATCTTAGTATTTTCTCCACCCCTAGTGAATAACTGAGCATCAGTGCGAGTCTGTTCTTTTAATTTTTGCAATGGTGTAATGCTTGCTTTGTATAGAAGTTGCAAAATATTGAAATGTCAAGTATGATATGTTGCTTATAATTAACAAGACAGCCCCTATTAATTCTTTTATCTGTAATATATCAACTATTTGCTAGTATTGTACATCTCAGTCTTGTGAGAGCTTGGTAACTAGATATTTCTAATTTTAATGTGTAAATCCAATAACTCATTTGTAAATTCTGAGCTACCAGATATTTGGAGATTTTTAAAATTATTTTTTAAGTAATGTGTTTTTTCCACCTTTCTTAAACTCTGTAAAATGTTCTTTGTTATTCTTGGTAGGATTTTATTAAAATGAAATCTTCAAATACAGGTTTATACCTGCATTCTCAGCACTCCTGAAATAATATAAATAATATAAATTAAATAATAATAAGCTTTAATTTGAAAGCATACTCGCACTAAACCTGGTGGTAAATCCATCCATTTTAAGACTGATTATTACAATAACATAAATGTTTTTTTGATTTAAAGAAAAATAAAATCCCAAGTAATTTTCAGTATGACAGTGTTTAAGGCTCTTGTCTCTAATATGAAGAAGAAAAAAAAGATTTGCTGAAGGACTGCAAATCTGCCTAAAAACTCAAATCTGAGCTTTATATCACTCATGAAACGGAAACACTTTGGCCCAATTTAGAATAATATATTGGTCTGCAGAGGAAGTGCATACTGAACCCTGCTGTCTCAAGTATACAGTCGAGGGGTGTCTAATATGAAACGTGTTGGGTGCCTGCAATAAATCCAAAATGCGTGGAGGTGAGCGAAGTGCCCCATCTGCTCTGCTCCAGAGCATGCTTAACTAGGGTTGTCATGCTCTTACTATTAAATTGCAATTCTCTCCCTAATCTTAGTTAGACACGACCACATTTGCAAACAGATTTACAGTTTTCACTAATTTTCCTACCATGACTTCAAAACATATTTAACAAAAATACTCGCTAGCCTTTTTCAAAGAGAGAAGATTTACTTTTCCACAGCTGTTTCCCATAGATCAAACCCTTGCTTGAAGGTTAGGGTTTTAAAACAGCATGAAGATGAACTTGGAATTTTATTCCTCTCCCTACCACCAGCAAAACATAGTTCAAGAAGCATGCAAAAATTATTTTCATAACCAACCAGAAGTCGGGTGCACAGATTGCAGAGGCTGGCTTGCGGTTCAAGATAAGTATTTAATGGAAACACTTCCACATGTATATAGTGGCTCATTAAACTATTCCTAGATATTTAATCTGCTTCTATATCCACAAACTGACTTGAACCCTTTTTGCTCTCCAGCATCTTGAATGTGTTGGAGTTTAACCCAATAGTGTTTTTTTTCCTTGACTCCACATTTAATCCAAATGTTATACTCCTTGATTATTAGGACTTCGAACCCTAGAAACTTACTTGTCGTTACCAAACTTTGATCATGTAGTTTGGCAAATCCCAGACATCTTTTTTTAGTTCAGCTTTTTAATTCATTTTGTGTTTTGTTTGTGCACACTTTTTTGTTTAAAAACTAAAAATATTTCTTAATTAGGGCCAGATTATCTCTCTGGCTTTCTGTTACGGAAGTAGTGTAAGATGTATTCCATTGACCTCTAGTTTCTTGGGGAAGAATCTGTAGTTTTCTTGGCACTTTCTTTCAATTTACCTGTAGTAAAACTAGTTTGATTTAGGTTTCTCCTCTTGAAGCATTTCTAAAAGATGGGTGAAGGAGTTGGCTTCCATAGACTCCACTCATCTGTCAACCCTCGCATTTCATCAGAGAATTCTACTTGATTTGTGAGGGAAGTGGAGTCCTGCATGTATTTAAAACACTCAATTGCATTAATTCTACCCATAAAATGGTCAGATGAGTTTGATGAAATGGTATAAGTGTAACCTTCCACCTTTCTACAGTTACTGCTATGCTTATGTTTTTTTAGCCTGGGTTTATCAGACACAGGTCAGTCTTTAGTGATGTAGTGTGCGTGCAACTGCCTATAAGTGGAAATGTGGACTGAAATGGAGGAAAAGCATCTTAGTGATTTTGGAAATTGCACTATGGGCTAGTAATCAGAAAATTCTTCATTTATTTATGATAATTAAGAGAATGAATCGTGCAGGAGTACTTTACATTTGCTCTTGTAAATAGTTGGGTCAGTAAGAATATGAAAGCTTTTGCCAGTGCTTCTAATCTCACTTGTCTGTTACCTGCTTCTCAAAATAGATGGAGAAAAGAAAACTGTATAAATAAAAAGCTCGATTGGAACACTTTTTAAGAAGATAGAAAAGAATATAAACCCTTTTTGCTAGCTCTGAGAGCAGTCTGTAGCTTGTGCTTTGTGTTTTCCTGAGATATGTTTTTCCTGAGATATTTTTCGATGTGTTTTGTTTAGTAGCTATCTGGATTTTGTCCTCAGTCCTTACTCCTTTCTATAAGGATTGGTTAAGAGTTGATTTATTTTCTTCTTGCAGTGTTTGTTGTATCTTAATAATCTGCTCCATTAAGAAAGTCTATAGGGATAAAGCCTTTGTTTCCTTGAGATTGCCTTGGATTGACACCTTTTTTCTGCTCTAGAAGTTAAGTATAAGTATGTTAGGACTACAGATATTTATCCATTAGTCCATCCTTTTCACAAAAGGAAAATGCAAGTGCAAGACTAATATTACACTATCCATATGTTGTCCAAAGGTGACTGAACTATGGTTCTAATTTGGGATTGAGAGGGAAGGAGATAGTTGCATCTATTATGAGGCAGCACCAAAAAGCATTCCATATTACATCTTTTAATAGGATCATTATACTATTATTATGCAGTTATCCTGTTATAGGATGCCATTCTTTAAAATGTAGGAATAATAGAAATTCTTTATCTGAAGAGGTAAAGAATTGGTTAAAAGAGTGCCTCATAAATTCAGAGGTAGAAAAAAATCAGTCTGAAGTGAATTTTGGTATCAATTTGTATGATCTTTTATTTGTTATGAATCTAGCATAAGATCAGAGATGAGGACCTGGACAGTGCTCATGCTGGCAGTGTCTGGCTGCTGCGAAGATGACGCGCAGTGAGGTGTGAAAAGAGCCAGGGCAGGACTGTTGTGAGCAGGATCAGGCCAAAAAGGGTAACTGGCAGTAGCCTACTCCCAGGAAAGTACCAGAGATGATGTTTACTACAATGATTTTACTTTTTCCCTGAAGGTGAGAGGAATAGCGGTCTGTTTAGCAAAAGGTCTGTTTTGAAACTGTTTTACAGTGCTACCTGAGAGTTGTATGCATTTGCAGGCAATCAGATCATCTGCTAAGCATATTTACTGCTTATTATTTCGTCTCTAAAGTCAAAACTTTCTTGCATTTGACCCCCAAATTATTTAAGCAGACTTCAAGTTGATAACTTTGTTTGCTAAGGTGGCTTCAGCCATCTGTACACAATCATACATGTGATTAATTTCTTTTAATAAATCTTGCCTGGGTCTGCCTCAGCTAGTGGTGCTATAATGGGACCTGGCCCTAAGGTGGCAGATGAATCATTGAAAAGTGGCAGGCAGTAGGTAAGAAATAAAAGAACAGAACAGCCTATTTAAAAGGAATGTGGATTTTTGCCATATATATGCATGCATGAAACGGTTTCCATGTTTCTTCGGTGTTCCACTGGAGACAGAAAGTTGAAGTTCTTTTTTTCAGCATTTGGGTACCAAGTTTGTTACCAAACAAGACTATATTTTGATCCTTTGAATGCAAGCAAGCCCTTTCCAATATAATCAGTAGTTTTGGGAGGCAGATTATAATGCATGAAACACAAGCAGTCTTGCCTATTTGTATAGCATCTAGTGCCATAATAGTTATTAATGCAGGTAGGCATAAATGGATTCTGTGTGTGACCAGTTTAGGATTTGATTCAGAGAAGTCTTTTTGGTCAGAATGTTCTTTAGCCTGTATCCAACTTCTATGAGTTATTTGATTGTTTTTTAGAATTACAATTTTAATTTTGCATCCTTTTTAGTGTTTTAAAATTGATAAACATAACCTAATCAGACCTTAAGAAAATAGTCTGTGCAATTTATATTTTTTTTGTAGGTGTGGAAAAGTCTGTACTACTGCTCTACTGTGTTCTACCTGAATCTGCATTGGATCTAGGGTAGTTCTGACATGGGGGGCAGCAGCTTTGCCTTAGCTCTGACACCAGCACAATAACTGGGTGTCATGTTCTCCACATGAATAGAATCTTTTGCTGCTAAAGGGATGATGTCCCATTTAACAAAGGGTCATTTTTATTTTAAATGCTAAATATTAAAAGAAAAGAAAACTTATAGTGGTCTACAATGAAGGCCTTGCCAAGGATTTGAATGAAGATGCAAATCCAAATAGTGTGTGTGTTTTTTTTTAATTGTTACAGAGTTTTAGAGCATTTCTATTTTCAATAATAAAATAACAGTTTAAACTTTACACATTGTGTTCTTTTCAGATTGATAGACTTTATTATGATCAGAAGAGAGTTTTCAAAATGAGGAATTTGGAGATGAATGTTTTAAACATATGAATGTTTAAAATATATTTACATGACGATAGGATGAAGCCTGATCATTTCTCACCATGCTCCGTTATGTTGACTGAACCTGTGTTCCTTGAAATAATAACAACAATAAACGTTCTTGAAAATATAGGTTCGATTTAACCATCTTGCAGGTCTCTCTTCAAAACTCTTTTTTTCCCTCTGGTGACAATTCAGGTTAAATGACTTGGGTGCGGGGGGAATGTTGGGTGGCGGAGGATGTTTTTTTGTGTCTCTACTGACTTTGAAACCTTTTTTTTTTTTTTTTTTTTTTTTTTTTTTTTTTTGTACATAGTAGAGATCATATAGTGCTATTTGATAGACGTTCCTGCATTTGAGAGGACAACATTATTTTAATGCTTAGGAGGCAGTTTTGAGCAGATACAGCCTTCTGAGAGCCCAACTTTTTGTCTCCGAGTTGAGCAGAGACCCTCAGATGATTTTGAGGATGGAAGAAAAGAAGATGAAATCATGTCTTTGTATTTTTAAAATAATGTTGATAACTGCAAAATACTGAAATTAATTGCAGAAAGTTTATTTTTGAGAAGAGAGATTATAAGTTCTGGATAGTCCATTATTTATGATGATAACTTTAAAAATTAATTTGGCTTAGCTGACTTTTTTTTCAGATGGGAGGTGATACTAATTCTACTTCTAAACTGTGTAAGGTGGAAGAACGCGTAGGTATGGGAGATCTTTGTAACACCAAGGTAATGATAGTTATCGTGGTATACTAAACTCTTGAGCTCTATCGTGACAATACTGTATGCTGTTTGGATTTTTTGCTTCAAATGCTTCATACTGTATCATGAGTCTGTATCAGAACAGAATAAGGTATATATATTTTTTCTGTACTTAAGGTGGTCTTTTCTGTCTCTAGATGATCTCAATATGACGCATCAACACTGTGTTCTGGCTGGTTTTGTACCTCGATTCAGCTCAACTCACAGAGTGGCGGATGTAAGTATCAAAAATGAGTTTCTATTTTTTGTTTTGTAAAGTTAATATTCTGATACCGTAAAGCCAGCCATCATGTTGTAGTGTTCTGAACTGTGGTTCCCAGTTACGTTGATGACTTAGATGTTTAACTTGAACTACTGCTGTTCATTTATCATTAGATCAAGGTATAGTTTCTCACTGTATTTAGTTTACCTAATGACACAGCTAGGCCTATAAAATATAAATTAGCAATGTGTGCTACCCTGCACGTTCATGGGTTATTGAAGAAATATGGTTGCTTGTTTCTTCATTTCTCTCTGAAATGCTTTACAGCTTTTTGCTCTGTTCATATCTTAGTCCCGGTTGAAAGGCAATATTCATGATGAGATAGAAATGTTCAAAAACATATGTCAGCAAGGTCCACTGGCAAAAACAGCCTTTAGGGCAGGTCAGGAGCAGCTAGGAGCAGTCATGAGGAGGTTTTAAATTGGATCCTTCTGGTGCTTCTAGTGATGGAAGACGATGTAGGTGATGTAGAGTCCGAGAGCCTTGTCTGAGAGCTGTTTTTGGATAACAAGGGTTCAGCCCATTATTTTCAAGTATTAAGATGCCTTTTTTTTAGTAGACTTGTTGTTCCTTTCTCATTTTTATCCTTAGCTTTATGTATATAGTATTCAAATGGAAAGGTATCCAGATATACAGAGATAGGCAGTATTGTTAAATTTATTTAAAAAAAAATCATTTTTTCAGCCAAGCAAAATGCACTGCTGTTGAGGTATGTGACACACACACATCCAAGTACTCCTTTTCCTCTGACTTTTTGTAGTTTGCTCGATGACATAAGTCAAGTGGCAACAAATACAAACACTCATACCTATATAAATTAAAAAAAGTACAAGAACATGAGAATACTACTTTTTCTCAAATTTCTTTAAGAAGTTAATATGTTAAAAAATTACTGTATGAGAGCTTTCATTTCCCCAATAGATGTATACTGAGCTATGTTGAGCTGAGCTTTATATCAGAGTCAGCTTTGATATAAAGTTGTATAGTATGATGTGCATTTAAACAGACAACAAAGTATTTTTTCCTCTTTTGAATATTCCTGCCTACTGTTCCTGCCTCTGTGCTTTTTTAGAGGAAAATACACATTTATTTTCAGATTGAAAAGCTGCTTATATGTTGTTTTTAAACTATTTCTAGCTCACATGCACTATGAAAATTTTATTACAAAAATGAGACTGGGCAGTCAATGTACTGTGGGTAAGTTTGAGAAATATTTAAGTTTCGAAGTGCCTGTGTGCCTATCTATATATTTAACTTTTTATTTTAATTTTTAATAGTGTTCAAGAGGAACATTGGAGTATATATTTGGTCGATGCGAACTTGCGCTCCAGAATTTACAGACTGATTCTGATTCAAAGGCTTTATCTTTGAAATCTCTGGGAGCTGCTGTTGTAAAGCAGGTGGAAGAAACACATAATGAGGTGAGATTTGCAGACAAACTATCTCAGCCTAACTCCATGAGCAGAATGCATCTCAGAATTAATGTCAATTAAATGTATTTAACAACTCTCAAGATACTGCTGTGTGCAAGTTTAAAATGTATTTTTGCTCAGTTTTGTGTTTGAATGTAGTGACTGGGATTAATTCATGTCTGATACCTTCGTTCTCAAGTAAGACTGAATTTTTTCTTAAGATCCCTCTGCTGGTAGGTTCAAAGAGTAGTTTTAGTGAGATTGGCTTTATGGTGCAAAATTTGATGGTGTGGACAAACAAATACCCTGTTGTTTTTAGAAAGGAAAGAGGGTGCAGGGAGGGGAGTTAAGCCAAGTGCAAGCAAGTAAAAATCTTACCCAAACTTTTCAATTGTTCATCAGGCATTGAGATGGTTGCCAGTCTTTTACAGAATGCCAGATGTGAGAACATGCTTTAAAGCATGTTCTGAAGAAAATACAGGGGAATAGTTTTGAGGAATAGCCCAGTTCAGCTGGTGATGCCGCAGTTTGAAATAGGCACGTGCGGCCCTGTGCTCGCTGCTGCAGCTGGCCCGGCACTCCGTGGTTTGAAGTGCGGAACAGCTGTGGCAAATGCACCAACTTGACAAACCAACTGCGATTATCAGACAATGTTTTGTGCAGCTCTGGAAGCTGGTAATTTTCCTGTAATATAGAAGTAGGTAGTGTCATGGGGAATGTTATTTTGTGTTAATAGAAGCAGTTGGTGGGATGACATAATGTTTTGGGGTTATCTTACACTACTGGCATTTTCTAAGATAGTTAACAGAATACTCTTTTTTTTCCAAGGGCTTTAAAATGACAGATTGTTTAGCTCTTCAAGAAAGCTGTGCTTCCACCTGAAATGCTTTTGGCTCTTGCAAACTGACAATTGTTGATGGTAATCTCTTAGAAAAGTAGTTATGGTGAGCTCAAATATCAGTGGTTCCTTACAGCATTGCTCTACTGAAACATGTTGAAGGAGCTTTGCTGGATTTATACCGAGATAAGCATGATTGTCTTTATACTGGGACATCTATAGTATGTAGGTAATTTTCACTCGAATGAAGTTTGTGCAAATACTTTATTTAAATTGCCATCTGCTGGGGAATATAATACAGCATCTTGTTACTAAAGCTTTGTAGAGCGTTCGTTTATATTGGGTTTAGAGATGTAAAATTGAGCACAGTGATGGCAAAAGATTTGTTCCCTTCTATTTAGCAAAATGGTTCCTAGAACGATTGAAAGAAGTCTGATGCATGCAGGGCTTTACAAAACATTAATCAGACTCAGTCCATAAAACTCTACGCATATGTGGTTTGCACAGCTAGGGCCACATGCGCAGCTGGTGTAAATTTGCACGGGCCCTTTAACATCAAAGACCTGTGGCATTTACATCAGGTGAGAGACTAGCCCCTGGTGTTTGCAGTCACCTGAATAATTTTGCTGTGTGACATACAGGGATGTTTCCTGTTACACATATGGGATATGCTGTAGCAGAAATGATTGTTTAACTTGTACATATTGCGCACTTAGTCTCAGTGGCCACATTGGATCTATATTTCATTGGCAAGGAGAATACTCACTCACTTTAAACTTTTTTTTCTTCTAAGGTCACCTCTTCACTTGAAGGATAAATACCATATGTTGAAGTGCTGTTTAAACTTTGTTTTTTATTTGCTGCGTAAGTAGGAAAAGTGATCTGTGGCTTTACGCTATGGTAAATACATGTTTCGTTTTTGCACATCATTGAAGTGAAAACATAAGTTATCTGTGAGGCAGATTTTTTTGTATATAAAAAAGTTTCCCAGCGTATTTTACTCCCTATATGATAAATCTGTGTAGTTTCAGGCATTAGTATTGCTTTTAGGTTTGAGTTTTCACAGGCATATGAAGAACATGTTTCATTTCTTCAAAGTACCAAGTTGTTCAGCTACTGATGAAAATAAGCATGGTCAGGATTTGATTACGGTTTTCTTTCCTGGATTTCTCAGTATTTTTAGAAGTCAAAACTGTACTAGGAAAGGCAAACACAGAATAATGAAGAATTTCCACCTTGTTTTGACTGTGTATTTCTGTTCTGATGTACAGCTTGTTGTGCTGGATTTTAATTGCCTTGTAAATTTTCTATCTTACTGTAATATCATTTGTATCAGAAGTTTTGCATAAGTTTTAGGCCAGATAACTACATGCAGCTATTTTTCTAAACTTTGTGTTTCCTAAAATGTTAGGATTGTTTTCTTCTCTCCTGCTGGCACCTGCGAAGTAGTGGTCAGAGATCATTAAATGGAACAGGACCATAGAGTTGGCATCAAGCTACAGGCTACCAAGCTAAAATATAGTAGTGTAGCCCTGGTGTCTGCTGAAATGAAGAGCAATGCCAAATGAGATCTAGACCAGTTAGCTCTGCCTGCTGGAGAGCAAAGACTAGGAACAATCTGGAAGAGTGAGGTAGGATTCTTCACTCTTGTATTTCTGGGCATGAAAATTGACTTGCTGATCTGATCAAGTGGGGCTGACCTGAAGGGCTGAAGCTTTAGTGGAGATTTACTTTTTTCCATTTTTGTCCAGAGCACAGAAACTGGCAACCAGGGAGAATTTCAATATTCCTTTAGACCTAGTCTTGGTGTTCTGGCTTTGCATTTCAGAAAACAATTGTCTGCTACTTTGAGTATTGCAAAATCTGGTAGTTTCCTGTTTTGTGAGATGCTGTCAGGAGTTCTTTATTGGCCACACCAGATTAATCATTAAATATTACTTGTAAAGCAAAGCATATGAGGAACTTCTTTAGAATTTGATGGTGCTCAAGTTTGTAAGAGCAGGGTCTCGTCTCATGGGCTCAGCCCTGATGACTAAATCTTTAATCGCATGAGGATGGATGGGTTGCTCTGCTTGGGAGGTGCTGCTGCTCTTGTGTGTGTTTCTCTGCTGAAAATAGTGGCTCAGTTCAGTACAGTGAATGCACAGGGATATAGAGAGACCTGGGCTACATAAGCTGAAAGATACGTGGTGGCAGAACCTGAGGTCACTGCTGAGAAAAGGTAGTAGCGTGCACAGCCCAAGGAAGGTTAATGTGTTTTAGCACATTACAGTGAAATGAAAGCATGGTTAGTGGCTGGCTAGCGCAGAAGAGAGAAAATATAGCTCACCTACATATGTGGCATTTAATAACCAATACTTTTAAATAATTGACGGAGGTGCACTGCCTCACAAAATGTCAAATGCTGCTGTTGGCCTTTTACTACCCAGTATTGACTATAACCTAAAACTGGCCTTTAATCATTATTTAAAGGACAACTTGGAAGTATGTTGAGGTTAGGCATGAGGCCTGATTCTAAGCATACTTGACGAGGTAACTTGGCCATAAGTCTTAAATGAAAATTAATTAGGAGATAGCAATTATTCCTAAAATGTGAAGCTTTTTTTAATGTTAATGTGGTTAGTCTTTGTGCAGTTCAATTATGTGAACTGCCTCCTAATGTGAGTTAATGTTATTCTGGCATATAGGAATCTCTGCATGAAAGCTCATTCACAAAATCCTCCAGAAGAGGAGCTGTTAACATGAGTTTGGTCAAGAGGGTAATGTTGGTTGCAGGCTAGAATGGAGCTTTCTTTTCACTGTGGTACTGTGATTGAAGGTACCCTTCCTTCTACTCATAGAAAGTGAGGGAAGCAGCTGACTTAATAGGAATGCCTTCCTGGTGCCAGAAAAAAGCACTGCAGAATAGAGATCAGTGAGAGAAAGAGATAGCATAGCTCTAAGGGATCTTGGAAAGAAGATAGCTTGTGCACTTGTTAAAGCATGTACTGAGTAATGGATGCAATGTAAAGTGTTCAATTGTTAATTTAAAAATAACAAAGTGACTTGCCAGAGCTGGAATTCCTGGAGAATTTTTAACAAAACTAAGTATTTGTGCTTATACATGTCTGAGATGAATAAAGTCACCTTTGCCTCATTAACATGGTATTTTTTGAATCAATAGCTACCTGCTCATGAGTAATACTGTAATATTTCAAAGCTGGTACTTATCAAGCAGCTTAATGGATAAACTGGTGAATGAAACACTGCTCCCCAAACACCCCATTGTGTTACCTAAGTTAGAGGTTAAACTAAGATCATGTGACACAGTATGAACCTGAGTTTGAGCCCCAGTTTAAAAAAAAAAAAAAAAAAAAACCCTCTATCTGAACTGTTCTAGTGATCAGCCATCCCAGAACTCTGTATACCCACTTCCAACAAAATGCAACTTGATACTTCATCCCCGGTTAATCCTATAGAAGCAATAAACTTTAGTTGAATTTTGCTAGGAGGGATGTGTGTCACCAAACTCAACTGCTAAACTTGCAGGATCTTTTTTTTTTTCTTCAAAAATACTTATCTGCCAACATATAGGTTGTTATGTTTTACTGAGAGTGGTTTTAATATGCTTTTCCTAACTTTTACATTTAAGTAGCTTTTATTGAAATCATTACCATAAAGTGACCACACGTTTAGTTGATGTTATCTGAAACACTTACCTGTCTCTCTGCTTTGAGGTAAGAAGGACAGTGAGGGCTTTGGGCAGTTGTTGTTCTTGCCACTTCACAGTTTCTTTGCTTGAGTCCTCAGCCCTGAGTAGGGGTGAACAGAACCACCTTTGTGATAGCAAGTAGTGATTAAAGCAGCTTTGAACTGTGTACAGTAACTACCACAACAAAGATGGATTTGTAAAGACAAGAAATACAAATTTTTATTGAAGAAAAAGACTCAACAGGAATTATAATAAATGGAATTATTTTGGTGAAAGATTATTTCATGAGTTATCTTTGTTTTTGATGTTTTGAAAGTTTACTATTAATTCTATCTTAAGGTTGTTGTTCCTCTACATGCAATTAAAACCAGCCTAGTGTATACCTCCTTTGCTTTATATTTTAAATGAATGTATAGCCTTGCTTCTGAGGGACTTGATATTGTTCCATTTGAGGATTTGTTTTCTGTGTAAAGCACACTTGTCCCATAAGCTTTCCAATGGGAAAACAACTTTAGGTGCTCAGAAAAGCCAAGGGTTGCCCTGCGAGCGCTG